TAGTGCTGTGATGAACATGGGTGTGCCTATGTCTGTTCTTGTCATGGCTCTCACTTCTTTAGGATATGTACCTAGTAATGGAATGGCTGGGTCACATGGTATTTCTTATTCTATTAATGGATGTCTGCAGCTGTTTCTCCTCAATTTGAGTCGTGCCACGTCAGCCAATGGAGGTCTCAAAAGCTTTACTCTATTCATATCAGTAAAGTTGGTCCTACTCTGATGATGCAGTCTTTCCCAGTTGTGTTTTGAAAGCCTTCTGACCTAGGGTGCTCATCCTCCTGTGCTGTATTGGATAATGTTTCCAGGATATTCACAAAGTTGTGCAATAACATATCAGACTGTGTTTCTCTGTTATGCATAAGGTTTTTCCTGGCCAATTCTTTGAGAAGTGAATGGCCTCTTCCTTCTTCCTAGTCTGTCGCAGTCTGTAAGCTGCATTGAAACCTGTCCACCATGTGCAACCCTGCCAGCACTTGAAACACCAGTGGTACAGCCTCAAGCCTCACAGCAATATGCAAACCACAATAGTACAACAAACTGACAGACAAGTCTGTCTTGCTTAGCTGTTTGAAACATCTCCACCCTGCCCTTACCTATATCCCTGGCGCTTCTCAGCTCTGTCATTGCCTCTGGAGTCCCTTTCCCCTGCTTTCCTGGCTGGTGGGGGTGGGGCCTGGGTGCCTTTTTCCCCTTACCTGGATGCCTGGCTGCTGCTCTGCTTTGTCATCCCCCTGGCTTCTCTTTCCCTCACTTTCCTGGCTGGGGGGGGGTGGCTCCTGGGTCCCTTCCTCCCCTTACCTGGATGCCTGGCTGCTGCTCTGCTCTGTTGTCACCTCTGGATGGATGGTAGAAAGACAAAAACAAATGTGCACTAATGGTAGATGCTGTTTCTCTCCTTCATTATGGTACATCCCTCCATTCTTCTCTCTCTCTCTGCAGAGTGGTTTTCTCTGCTTGCCTGTGGGTACATATCCAAAGTGTCCATCAGTGTTAGCCTCTGTTCCCTGAATTTTCTTAGCTTCCTCATTTAAAGGAATGGAACCTAACTAGCTGTTCTGAATGTTGATCCTAAATTCCCAGAGAGAGACTCTTATTGGGTTCTATTGGCTCAGGGGTTCATTCGTGCTCCAGTCATTTGAAGTTGGGGAAGGGTGGGGGCCATTGATGCAAACGTATCCTCCCCACACATATACACCTGGAGATGGTAGTGGGAGAACGTCTCCAGAAAAGGAAGGAGTTGAGCATTCCTGCTTTGTAGAGATGAGATGGTGTGCATAACCGTTGAGACTGTCTTCAGAGTAAAACATGCTGTGGTGATCTTGAGTACCCTGGCTCATTATCCTGCTAGACCATTGCTTCCATGTCCATCACCATGATTTTGTTAAAATGCAAATTCTGATGCAGTAGGTCTGGGACAAGGTCTAAGAGTCTGCATTTATAATACGCTCCTAGTTGATGCCGATACTGCTTGTCTGAAGGCCACATTTTGAGTAACAGGGCCCTAGAAGGCCCTACAAGAATAGTTATATCACCTTCTAAATCAGAAAGACCTTGTCTCTTACTTCCTAATACTAACTTTCTACCTTTCCATCCTTGACAACTGTGATTTTGAGTCACAGTCATTTTGTCACAGAAATAAGCATCCCAGGCAGGCTGATAAGAATGACTGTACGTCAAATGGTCTTCAGTCAACAAAATGAACTTAAAGAACCCATCTGCATATTGCCTTGGGGAAAGAAGTAAGGGACTTCTGTTTTACCTTCTCAAATTCTCCTCACAGGTCACTGAATCAAAGACAAAGAAAGTGAACCGCAAAGGAAGTACTTCTTCCACTTCCTCTTCCTCCTCCAGCTCTGTGGTGGACCCTTTGAGCAGCGTGCTGGATGGCACTGATCCCCTCTCGATGTTCGCAGCCACTGCCGATCCTGCAGCCACGGCAGCTGTTATGGTAACACACTCTGAGCAAGCAGAAGTCGGCAGTCTGGGTGGTCATTTCTAAGGGGAGAGGGTGCAGGGATGGCTGTTTTTCATTTTCTTTTTGTTTTTAAATCACACATGGAACACATCGGTGTGTTCTTGTAATAATTCAAATAGTCCCAGACTTCCAGAGGGTGTGGCTTACAGGGCAGGACATGAAGGGTTAGAAGCTGGTATAAGTTCTAAAAATTCTTCCCTCCCTTCTTTCCTTCCTACATTTTAAAAAGTTTTCTTTAATTTTTTTCTTTCATAATTCTTTCTTTGGGACCTTTGTTTTCTTTTAATACTGTTAACCGTAAGTAATTTACTAATTTTTGATGTAAGAGTCAAACGGTACAGATAAAGTCCTGTTTACCAACTGTGTCCCCCTTTTGCCATTCTCCACCTTGGAAGTCATCAGTGTTATCAACATAATGTCTATTCTTCTATCCCCTTTTCTTGATATTTTTGATTGAAACTTCTGAGTATTTACATACATAGTAAACCTCTTGCTATTGAGTTCATTCTAATTCATAGTGACTGTTTTGGGTCTCTAGTGTTGCCCTAACAAGAATACCGCAAGTATATGGCTTTAACAAACAGAGATTTATTCTCTTACAGTTTAGGAGGCTAGAAGTCCAAGTGCAAAGTATCAGCTCTAGGCCTGGGTGAAAGCCCCTTGACCTTGGGCTTCAGCTTTGCCTCTTGCCTTCTGCCTTACCAAAGCTGGAGGCTTCTCTTAACTCAGACAGCTGCTGACTGCTGAGACTGACAAACTGAAGGTTGACAAATAAAATGGCATAGCCCCAAAATTACTACGCAACATGGCAGGCCACTAGTTCAAGTCCAGAAACAGTCTCAAGATTGGCAGACAACATGGCAGGCCACTGAGATGAAGACTTGGCCAAGTACAGGGTACAGATGTGCCAAAAAGCTCAGAGACCACATCCCTAGGGCAGCTACTCAGCTGCTCACTGCAGATTCCACCATGGAGCTGATTACTAGTCTCATCATAGGGAATAATTGTATCCAGGTACCCAGCCACTCAAAACCAGACCTAGCCAAGTTGATGCACAACCTTAACTACCACAGTGACCTTTTAGGACAGTGTAGGATTGCCCCATAGGGTATTTAAGCCTATAAATCTTTACAGAAACTGACTGCCTCATCTTTTTTCCACAAGTGTGGCTGGGTGGGTTCAAACTGCCAGCTTTTTGTTAGCAGACAAGCACTTTAACCACTGTGCTACCAGCAATCCTATATACATAGTAAAATACCCCCACTGTCCATCAAGTCAATCCCAACTCATAGTGACGCTTTTTACTATATATATAGTAATCATGTAGAAATAATAACAAGAAAAAAAATAAGCTTTCTGTGTGGTGGGCATTTTTCTAAGTGCTTTCCATGTTTAATTCTCATATGACTATATGAAAGGGATATTATAATCCTCATTAAAGGCAGACCTGGAGAGATAGAGATGTTAAGTTACATCCAAGGTGGGTTTCAAACCCTGTCAGTCTTGACTTCAAAGGGCACATGCTAAGCCATCCATTTTATGTGGCATTGCATACGTTTATTTAAATTTCTGTAGCTTGTGGGCTTTTTTTTTTTTGGATGTCTCAAAGAGCATTCATATCAATATTTATACACCATCCTCATTTTCAACAGCTGTTACATACTAATTTCAAGACTGGGTGTAACGTACTTTAATTTGCCATTCTCCTACTAATAGGTTATTCTGTTTTTTTGCTAGTACACTTAGTGGTGCACAGTGATCCTTGAATTTGCATGCCTCTGTGCATATGAGAGAGCCATGGTGGTGCAGTGGTTAAAGCACTTGGCTGCTATCAGGATGTTTGGCAGTGCAAACCCACCAGCTGCTACATGGGAGAGAGAGATCACAATCTGTTTCCATAAAGATTACAGCCTTGGAAACCCTCTGAGACAGTTCTACTCTGTCGTGTTGGGTAGCTATGAGTCAGAATTGACTTGATGGCAGTGGGCTTATTTTTGGGAGCTTTTCTGCTTATATGTAAATATTTCTGCAGGACGGATTCCTAAAAGTTCGTTACCAGGTTAGTGCATGCGTATTTAAGGCTTGATGGTTACCACCAAATTGTCCTCCAAAAAGGCTTCACCAGTTTAAAAACACATACACACACACACACACACACGTGACAGTGTCTAAGGGTACATATTTCCCTGCATCCTAGCCAACTTCCATACCGACAACTGTTTAATTCTTTGCTAATCTGATAGTGAAAAATGATGTTTTTCAGTTTGCCTTTCCTTGATTTTGTTAATAAATTTGGGCATTTTTTGATAATTTAATGGTTTATTTAAGCCATTTGTGATAGGACTTTCAAGACTGTGACCTTTTGAAAGCAGAGAGCGCCAGTCCCCTCTGGGTGGATTAGAACAGCTAACCTAGACAGACCTATTTTAATTCACAGTGAGGGGACTATCCACCTTCTGCTTGTATTATGTTGCTGCTGAAGAGATTGTTTTGCCTTTCTTAGGACAGCTCCAGAAAGAAACGGGATAGAGATGATAACTCCGTGGTAGGGTTGGACTTTGAACCATGGTCCAACAAACGGGGAGAGATCCTTACCCGATACACTACTACAGAAAAACTCTCTATCGTGAGTACTGGTACTTTCCTTCCAAGATTTACTTCAGATTTAGTAGTAATGTCTTTTTATTATATTACTTCATGTCCTGGGTTCTCTACAAGTTGTCATTTTTACCTCAGTGGTTGGGGAAAAAGTGCTGATTTTTTTCCCCCTAAATTGTTGTTGTTGTTGAGAATATATACAGCAAAGCGTTCACCAGTTCAACAGTTTCTACATGTACCATTTAGTGACATTGATTACATTCTTCTAGCTGAGCAACCATTC